ACACAACAGCCGTCGCCTCATGTTAGGTGTCATTGACGCCCGACGCGATCATGCAATGGGATATTGGAACATAATCGTTTTCTCTGAAACATATATAATGGAACGTTTGTCCCTAAAAAAATGTTGCTTTGCTCATGTATTTTCCTGTTATATGGCACTTTAAAATCAATTTGAATTCTCGGTTAGAAATGTAACATAGCGCATGCGTAAATGGTATCCTCCGCGTTACCTTTTGTCTCATTTTTATTTGAATTTGAATCTTCTTTGTAAGGAAAGTGTTGAATTTTAAGAAAACAAATGTCTTTTATATCATAATGATTTATCCTCTAGAATGTTTGACGCAAATGGTGGACGTTGTGTTCCTGTTGGATTCGTCGGGAAGTATGGGTGAAATGGACTTCAGGAAATTGCTCGATTTTGTATCCGTATATGCTCAATATTTCACTGTTGGTCCCAGCAATGTACAAATGAGTGTGATATCCTTTGCCTCTGACGTCACGATTCATTTTGATTTGAATACGTATGATAACAGCGCTGCGATAATAAACGCCGTTCAGAACATCCCATACAAGAATGGAGGGACACACACAGAAAAAGCACTCCAAATGGCGCTGTACCATAGCTTCACTCGACAGACAGGGGACCGTTCTTACGCCAAAAACGTGCTTCTCGTTATCACCGACGGCTATTCGTATGACCGAGAAGCGACGCTTTCTGCGGCTTCGATGCTTAAGCTGTATCAGATCGAGACGTTTGCTGTCGGGGTTGGACAGGGTGTCGACATTTCTGAATTACAAGGGATCGCTACAGACAGCAGACACGTGTTTACCGCGACTAACTTCGACACTCTCAGTACTCTGAGATCAAAACTAAACTTGTTTTCCTGTACGTAATTTACATATTTAGTAAACTTTATCAGCTTCTGTTCTCTTATCATTTTTGTACGATCGGAATACATGGCAGCACAATCCTGTAATTTATCCTGACGGAATTGTGCATTTAAAAAATTCAAGAAACGTAGCTTTAAATTTGGTAGGTTTGTAATGGTAACTATGATATTTCCTATATAATCCTTGAACAATGATACCGATCAATTGGACAGTAATATACCAATTAGGCACCGTTGAACAGGTGCATTTATAATACATTCACAACACGACATATTTCTACAATAAAAGGAAATGGAGCACTGATATCTTGAAAAATATATGTAACATTTTTATTGCGCCCTGAATAATTTACAAAATACGTTTAAGTTCATACAATTCACAATATTTTGTTAAGAGATGCCCAAGCATGTGTAGATATAGAGGCATCACAATCTCACTACTGTATTCTCACGCTAGTTGTGTTCTTCCTTGATTCAAATATCATCCAGTAGCAATATATCTACTTCCCACAGTTACTGATCAGAAAATACCCCGCAGTATAAAAGTTCAACTGCTAGCCTAATACACGCAAAATCCATTCGACTTTCATTGGTAAACAACGTAAACGCCAAATCCAGTTGCTTTCAACAGATAACGCCAACACCGCACGATATCCAATAGCAGACATCACAAACGCTAAAACCTGCGACTTCCAATGGTAGACATTACAAACGCTAAAGCCTGCGACTTCCAATGGTAGACATTACAAACACTAAAACCTGCGACTTCCAATGGTAGACATCACAAACGCTAAAGCCTGCGACTTCAAATGTCAGACATCACAAACACTAAAGCCTGCGACTTCAAATGTCAGACATCACAAACACTAAAGCCTGCGACTTCCAATGGTAGACATCACAAACGCTAAAGCCTGCAACTTCCAATGGTAGACATCACAAACGCTAAAGCCTGCGACTTCCAATGGCAGACATCACAAACGCTGAAGCCTGCGACTTCCAATGGTAGACATCACAACCGCTAAAGCCTGCGACTTCCAATAGTAGACATCACAAACGCTTAAGCCTGCGACTTCCAATGGTAGACATCACAAACGCTAATGCCTGCGACTTCCAATGACAGACATAACAAACGCTAAAGCCTGCGACTTCAAATGACAGACATCACAAACGCTAAAGCCTGCGACTTCAAATGACAGACATCACAAACGCTAATGCCTGCGACTTCCAATGACAGGCATAACAAACGCTAAAGCCTGCGACTTCAAATGTCAGACATCACAAACACTAAAGCCTGCGACTTCAAATGTCAGACATCACAAACACTAAAGCCTGCGACTTCCAATGACAGTCATCACAAACGCTGAAGCCTGCGACTTCAAATGGTAGACATCACAACCGCTAAAGCGTGCGACTTCCAATAGTAGACATCACAAACGCTTAAGCCTGCGACTCTTCCAATGGTAGACATCACAAACGCTGAAGCCTGCGACTTCCAATGGTAGACATCACAATCGCTAAAGCCTGCGAATTACAATGGCAGACATTACAAACGCTAAAGCCTGCGACTTACAATGACTTCCAATGGTAGACATCACAAGCGCTAACGCCTGCGACTTCCAATGGTAGACATCATAAACGCTGAAGCCTGCGACTTCCACTGGGAGACATTACAAAAACTCAAGCCTGCGACTTCCAATGGCAGACATAACAAACGCTAAAGCCCGCGACTTACAATGGCAGACATCACAAACACTAAAGCCTGCGGCTTCAAATGTCAGACATCACAAACACTAAAGCCTGCGGCTTCAAATGTCAGACATCACAAACACTGAAGCCTGCGACTTCCAATGGTAGACATCACAAACGCTGAAGCCTGCGACTACCAATGGTAGACATCACAAACGCTAAAGCCTGTGACTTTCAATGTCAGACATTACAAACGCTTAAGCCTGCGACTTCCAATGGTAGACATCACAAACGCTAAAGCCTGCGACTTCCAATGGTAGTCATCATAAACGCTGAAGCCTGCGACTTCCAATGGTAGACATCACAAACGCTAAAGCCTGCGACTTCCAATGGCAGACATAACAAACTCTAAAGCCTGCGACTTCCAATGGCAGATATAACAAACGCCAAAGCCTGCAACTTCCAATGGTAGACATCACAAACGCTAAAGCCTGCGACCTCCAGTGGTAGACATCACAAACGCTAAGGCCTGCGACTTACAATGGCAGACATCACAAACGCTAAAGCCTGCGACTTCCAATGACAGACATTACAAACGCTGAAGCCTGCGACTTCCAATGACAGACATCACAAACGCTAAAGCCTGCGACTTCCAATGGTAGACATAATAAACGCTGAAGCCTGCGACTTCCAATGGTAGACATCACAAACGCTAAAGCCTGCGACTTCCAATGGTTGACATTACAAACACTAAAACCTGCGACTTCCAATGACAGACATCACAAACACTAAAGCCTGCGACTTCAAATGTCAGACATCACAAACACTAAAGCCTGCAACTTCAAATGTCAGACATCACAAACGCCAAAGCCTGCAACTTCCAATGGTAGACATCACAAACACTAAAACCTGCGACTTCCAATGACAGACATCACCAACGCTAAAGCCTGCGATTTACAATGGCAGACATCACAAACGCCAATGACAGACATCACCAACGCTAAAGCCTGCGACTGCCAATGGTAGACATCACAACCCCTAATGTCTGCGACTTCCAATGACAGACATCACAAACGCTGAAGCCTGGGAATTCCAATGGTAGACATCACAAACGCTGAAGCCTGCGACTTCCAATGGTAGACATTACAAACACTAAAGCCTGCGACTTCCAATGGTAGACATCACAAACGCTGAAGCCTGCGACTTCAAATGGTAGACATCACAAACACTAAAGCCTGCGACTTTCAATGAAAGACATCACAAACGCTAAAGCCTGCGAGTTCCAGTGGTAGACATCACAAACGCTGAAGCCTGCGCCTTCAAATGGTAGACATCACAAACACTAAAGCCTGCGACTTTCAATGAACGCTAAAGCCTGCGACTTACAATGGCAGACATAACAAACGCTAAAGCCTGCGATTTACAATGGCAGACATCACAAACGCTAAAGCCTTCGACTTCCAATGTCAGACATCACAAACACTAAAGCCTGCGACTTCAAATGTCAGACATCACAAACACTAAAGCCTGCGGCTTCAAATGTCAGACATCACAAACACTGAAGCCTGCGACTTCCAATGGTAGACATCACAAACGCCAAAGCCTGCAACTTCCAATGGTAGACATCACAAACGCTAAAACCTGCGACTTCCAATGGCAGACATCACAAACGCCAAAGCCTGCAACTTCCAATACTTACAATGGCAGACATCACAAACGCTAAAGCCTTCGACTTCCAATGACAGACATCACAAACACTAATGCCTGCGACTTCCAATGACAGACATCACAAACGCTAATGCCTGCGACTTCCAATGACAGACATGACAAACGCTGAAGCCTGCGACTTTCAATGGTAGACACCACAATCGCTAAATCCGGCGACTTACAATGGCAGACATTACAAACGCTAAAGCCTGCGACTTACAATGGCAGACATAACAAACGCTAAAGCCTGTGATTTACAATGGCAGACATCACAAACGCTAAAGCCTACGACTTCCAATGTCAGACATCACAAACACTAAAGCTTGCGACTTCAAATGTCAGACATCACAAACACTAAAGCCTGCGACTTCCAATGGTAGACAACACAAACGCTGAATCCTGCGACTTCCAATGGTAGACATCACAAACGCCAAAGCCTGCAACTTCCAATACTTACAATGGCAGACATCACAAACGCTAAAGCCTACGACTTCCAATGTCAGACATCACAAACACTAAAGCCTGCGGCTTCAAATGTCAGACATCACAAACACTAAAGCCTGCGGCTTCAAATGTCAGACATAACAAACACTGAAGCCTGCGACTTCCAATGGTAGACAACACAAACGCTGAATCCTGCGACTTCCAATGGTAGACATCACAAACGCCAAAGCCTGCAACTAGACATTACAAACGCTAAAGCATGCGACTTCCAGTGGTAGACATCACAAACGCTAAAGCCTGCGACTTTCAATGTCAGACATTACAAACGCTTAAGCCTGCGACTTCCAATGGTAGACATCACAAACGCTGAAGCCTTCGACTTCCAATGGTAGACATTACAAACGCTAAAGCCTGCGACTTCCAATGGTTGACATTACAAACACTAAAGCCTGCGACTTCCAATGGTAGACATCATAAACGCCGTGCCTGCGACTTCCAATGGTAGACATCACAAACGCTGAAGCCTTCGACTTCCAATGGTAGACATCATAAACGCTGTGCCTGCGAGTTCCAATGGTAGACATCACAAACGCTGAAGCCTTCGACTTCCAATGGTAGACATTACAAACCCTAAAGCCTGCGACTTCCAATGGTAGACATCATAAACGCTGTGCCTGCGACTTCCAATGGTAGACATCACAAACGCTGAAGCCTTCGACTTCCAATGGTAGACATTACAAACACTAAAGCCTGCGACTTCCAATGGTAGACAGCACAAACGCTGAATCCTGCGACTTCCAATGGTAGACATTACAAAAACTAAAGCCTGCGACTTCCAATGGGAGGCATCACAAACGCTAATGTCTGCAACTTACAATGGCAGACATAACTAACGCTAAAGCCTGCGACTTACAATGGTAGACATCACAAACGCTGAAGCCTTCGAATTCCAATGGTAGACATCACCTGCGACTTCCAATGGTAGACATTACAAAAACTAAAGCCTGCGACTTCCAATGGCAGACATCACAAAAGCTAAAGCCTGCGACCTCCAGTGGTAGACATCACAAACGCTGAAGCCTTCGACTTCCAGTGGTAGACATTACAAACACTAAAGCCTGCGACTTTTCCAATGGTAGACATCATAAACGCTGAAGCC